TGTCATACGTTGTTTAGGTAAGACAACAGGTCATGGAAACGGGGGGATAACCTAGAAAACATAAGAATATAGATAATGCTAGTAAACTGTAATAATAAATTTGACGATTTATGGGGGCCACGTTGTAACCTTAGTAACTCTGAGTTGTTATTCAATTAACTAGAGCACTGCTCTACAAGCCACCATATTAAATCTCAAAAACTTTGGTGTCCTGCTTCGTACTTCAATCTTCCAGAAGAACAACGTTCACTCCTTCCAAAACTGTCCAACCTGAAGTTGGCATTGGGTCAACCATCAGACATTGTAAATGTCTACTTATAACGGGAGTGAATGGGGTTTATGCAACAACTGGACCAAGTCAAAGTGACAATGTGTGGATGGTAACACAAAGGGGGGGGTGTACGTCTTCAGCAGTGAATCAGAAGGTGGGTATGGACCGATTACCTGGGCAAGCATCAGTTCACAGGGACAACATATACGATGGCGCCAGTAAAACGGATCATTAGTTGGCGGTCACGGTCTTCAGTGTAAACATTATGGGTCTTCCGGGTTTCTTTGCTAAGCGTGTTTTTGAGTTGGTTCGTTGATTATGCTCTATTATTTCAGGAACACAGGAAGTAGGTATTGTACGCTTATAACTAGTCGCTTGTCTACAATTCACGGATATTATCCAGTAAACCAGTGGTTTTACAGGAAGCGTGAGCACATCACACATGATAGGACCTTCCGAGGCCCATAAGAGGGGAATGAACTTGAAAGTTGTTCAAAGTTTCTGAGTTTTTGGAGGACGATAAGGCGGACGTTTCTTCGGAGCACTTGGAATGTCCAACTCTGAATTTCGGGCTTGAACGGCTGTTAAAGGCGATGATATGCTGAACCACTTATCATGTTCGACTGTGCCAATATTTAATTTCCTAACGCCAGTATCACTACATTGTTACCGTTTGTGATTGTTTCGTATAGGATCTGTAGCTCATGGTTGAATTATAGTCGGTTGTAATCGACATCGCGCTAGTATTGTTGTACCAGTGAACAAAATTCCTGTAATTGTTGAGTAAACAGATCACCGTGTCATTGGTTGTTTACTAGTTCTGGCTTGGCATTCGAAGATAGTTAATTACACTGTACTTCACTCTCTGTCAAGAAATAGATATTCATACCGCATATAAGGTTGATGATTAGGATCGTAGTGCGTGTTAGGTAACACGAATCCTATCCACCTTGAGATCGTTAGCTAAACTGAATGAAGTTAGTTTCAACACTGTCTTGACTTGGAAAAACGCTTATTCATTTATGATATCGTTATTGCTTTTTTGGGAGGAGAGAGATGTCTGTGGTAAAATAATCCAAAATAATTTGAATTTTGGAGTTCTGGTTACTGAACTACGATAGTTCTCTCAAAATTGCAATCACAAAAAAGTGACAAGATAATGTCAAAGTTGATTCAAAGCCAATTAAATCTACCATCTTCCATCCATCGAAGTGGGATGTGGGAAACAATGGTTTAGTCTATAAGCCAGCTGTCGTTGCTGATTACCAGAAAGCAGATCTCGCTTGAAGAAGCTTATAAACGATTCATAAATTAAAAGAAGTTTGGTAGCGATTTTCAGTCCTCTTTATTGTGTACACTGAAGTCTTGTATTAGATACCGGTTTCATGTACCTATGTATGGGACCGGGTTTACGACGTCTATTAGGTGAAGCGGCTGCAAATAAACAACTGAATAAAGAAGTTTACTTTGAAAGGAGCTATAAAGTAGGATTAAATTTATGCGTAGCGTATAAAATGGTGTATGATTTAGTGTAAAGAAGATAAATGTTGTACAAGTTGTGCATAAAAAGTGTTTCGACTTCTACATTTTCATCTTAATATTTATGTGAGAAAATCACAAACTTACAGGTGGCCAATTGCATTTGATTATGTCATGTGCGATTTCGGTGTAAACTGTACTCGATTCTGAAGCATGAGTAGTTAACTATACAGCCAATCAGCTATAATTTACGTACAGCATGGTATATATTTATACGAGCCCTTGGTGTCCACACGAGATTCACATTATGAGAAATAATTGTATTAGCAATGATAATGAGAAAGACTAAGGGTTTCAAATATGGTTTGAAATAACAGAATAACAAGTTTTGTATGAACAAATTTGGTGAGTATATTCTAGCCATGTAATATTTATTTTTGACCTTCGTTTAGCATATGTGAAGGGCAGTACATTAGCATAAGTAACTCACAGACAATACCTGTTACTAATGTGGGTTTACTGGTTATGTAGGTAATTCATGGGGAGCTGTAGTTCGCTTTTACCTAATTTACACTGTCCAGTCCATGTGACTCCGTTCCACATGATAACAAACTGTCATACCAGCATACGCGTCACGCACATAAGTCTAAAATAACGAAAATTCTAGTGAGATTGGGAAATACACAAATTAGAAAAATGTGGTACGTTCCTTATGATAAGTTGTTGGGGGACTCACACAAAAGTCTTTGAAACTAGTTATTTTTTATTGCTAGCCCAAACCTTTCGTCGAGAAAAAATCAAAAATATTAACCGTCTACGTTTTTACTTTTGTTCAGTGCACGTAAATCCCTTTGGGCAAATGAGATGATTTGTGTAGCCAAGAATAATCTTTCAAAAAAAGTATGCCATGTACATGTGGATTATAGTTGTGGACCTAAATTTAAAAGATGACCAACTAGATTAAATTCAGTGTAATCTTGTCGGATCAGTGCTCATTTATATCTTTATAGCGATGTTTGTAATATGTTTTTTTGGTTCACCATCAGGGCATAGTTTTAGCATAACGTCCTGATTTATAAACACAAATCCTGCCGGTCCGAAGCCCGGATAAAGGAGGAGGGTTGGGCTTGGGGTTAGTGACCCAATCCCGTAGAAAACTAACTCGTTAAAAAACGCTAGCCAGAAAAGATTATTCAGGCTTTTTAAACTCTGCCCTGGGATTCAGAAGGTCTTCATTTAGAAGAGTTATGATGCCTCATGATGAAAGCCGAGTTCCTTCGGAGGTCACTGGGACGATGCCCCTTCTGACAACCAGAGCAACCATTTATTTAGGTACACGGAATAGTCAAGAAAGGAGGAACAAAAAGACAACAATCAATACCAGCAGAACAAGAGCAGAAAAAGCCAAGGCACAAGCTGAATACACAGAAGTGAACAAGCGAGTGAAGAAGAGCAGCAGAACTGTCAAACGTAAATATGTTGAAGATTTAGCAATGACGGCGGAAAAGTCTGCAAGAGAAGGGAACATGAGACAACTGTATGACATAACAAAGAAACTCTCTGGAAATCACCGTAAGCCAGAACGAGCAGTGAGAAGCAAGGAAGGTAAGCTAATCACCAACATTGAAGAACAACGAAACAGGTGGGTAGAACACTTCAAAAGCTCTTGATTCGACTGAACCCACCCGACATCGAAGCAACACCAAGGTCAGTATTTTCAATACAAATGTCAAGACAGTTCTACTGTATGGGGCGGAAACTTGGAGAATCAAGAAATCCATCATCCAGAAGATACAAATATTTATTCACAGTTGTCTGCGCAAAATACTTCGGATCTGTTGGTCGGACACTATTAGCAATAACCTACTGTGGGAGAGAACAAACCAGATCCCAGCGGAGAACGAAATCAGGGAGAAGCACTGGAAGTGGATAGGACACATGCTGAAGAAAGTACCCGACTGCGCCACAAGACAAGCCCTCACATGGAATCCTCAAAGCCAAAGAAAAAGAGGAAAACCAATGAACACATTACGCCGGGAAATGGAGGTAGGCATGAAAAAAATGAACAAGAATTGGATAGAACTAAAAAAGGCTCAGTACAGAGTAGGTTGAAGAATACTGGTCAACAGCCTATGCTCCATTGGAAGTAACAGGAGTCAGTCAGTAATAAGAAATGTAATTTCTACACAAAATAGGATGGTAAATAAGTGCTTTAGTTATTATGTTTGAATCGTAATATGCGGTTCCTGGTTAACTCTTAATCCTTTCAGGTTTAAAGTTATAGTGTTGGTTATTATGTTGACCCCATATACTTTATTCTAGCTTCCGGCCAATCTATTCATTCTAGTTGAGTCATATTTTGACATCGTTAATTATTCGCTTAATCTTGACTTTTTATATAAACGTATGTGTGCGTACATTTCCTGTCCTATTCATCACATGTTTGTAACTTATTTCCGTGAGATAATGAATATTAGTTAACGCTTGACTGAATTGAGTTGGCTCACATGCCTTCTCCATCGCGCGACATTTCGCTTCGCTCTATTCCATTCGCTTCATATTCAAAATATACGTATCATTCATTACCCAGAAGTTCATTCTCGTTATTTGACTTACGTAATTCTGTTATTTACTCAACTCCGATTAAGTCGATAAAGATATACAAGAATGGTCAGTATATACATTTTGACATTCATACGATCAAATTGAAGTCCGATCACGGACCACTGAAAAGTTAACTGCATAGTACGGCCATCAGCTAGCAAAGGTATAATTGAATATTTAGACCATCTTAAACATTTATGAAAGGCTTTAGGGTTGAAACATTTGACACTCCAATCTTTAAAAATTCGGAACTCCCCTTACAATATTTTATACCAGCAACCACCTCACATTTCATTGAATGTAATCATGAACATACTTTGCTTGTCAGCAGTTCACTGAGAACCCATATAATCCACCTTCTAAACCAGCGTAGTGAGATCTGTCTAATTACCCGTTGCCTTATAACTCAATCCAAATACCCTAAATAGGGATTTGATAGACTTTCAGTTTTACTGTTCCATTTATACCTGAGACTACTTACTTCGATAAGTTGTTTCAGACAAATGAAATAACAACTTGGCGGAGGCATTCGATTTTATAGGAGATGGTTTTCATGAAAATGAACACAATACATATTCCGTATTTATGAGATCATAGGTGTTTTAAAACTTCAAACTACATCAATGGTGTTTCGCTTCATAATTCTGCGCTTATTGAATTTCTTCACAAATGACCAAAAGTAGGGATAGTACGAATCTGGGAGAAGACGATACATCTGTCATAACTAAGAAAGTAAGCTGGTATATTCTTAAAGCTATCGACTCGGGCATGTGACTAGAAGTTCTTATGATATAATTAAAAAGTGTATGTACATACATGTACATACATAGATGTTGAAATTTCAACATCTATGTATTCCAGTAAATAATTCACTGAGCTAAACATATAGAACGTTGATCAAAATATTGTATAACACACTGGGCTTATAAAGCGGAAAACGGGGTTCCGATATATTTGGTTTTATCTAAATAATAACTTACTCGAGCAGCAGAGAAGGGAAATGATGCGAAGAAGTATTGTGAGAAATTCTACTTTACCCCGAAGAAAATTTGAATTCTAGGGAAATGTTTCGGTGAAGAGCGGCTCGTAACCCTCATTTAGCCGTATGAACACTATAGTGTTCATACATATAAATATCATGAATTCTACAAGTTGTTTTAAATTAAAGAATTCTCCAGTCTTTCAACTTTTAAGAAAACGTGAACAACACCAGTCTTTTGAACCAATTCCCGTTTAGCCGCAAATCCTTCAATATTGTTCATATATGAACGTCCCATATATGGGGTGGGAAAGACATATACGTTCCACATAAATCTTAATTGAATAAGTTTAGACTAAGTATCAGTGTTTAGTTGAATATATTGATCGAATATAGGTACAAGATAAGTTGTTTTCACTGCCGATACTAAACTGACTTCAGATGTAATATACTGTATTTATATTTAAATATGGGATAGGAGTATATATACCTGACCAACAATATGCAAAAGAAGCTCATTGAGTGATGATTAGTGTCGTATAAATGTGTGTTAACCGCTGGAAATTTTGTTCCTAAGCTATTAAATCATGGCCCATGCCTGAGAAAAATAATCCAGAGATATTCGCTTTTGAATACACTCAAAACCTTAATACCTGATAAATATTTTTCCTTTTGGTTTCCTTATTTTTGTTTGTGCAGTTAGTGTACTTATTTCCAACGAGGTATTGGTCTATAAGCATGGAATATCAGTCCTGTCTATCAATTCTGTCGTCGATCACGATACTTCATGCGCTTTGTTCTTTGTTATTTATCATAGCTACCGTTTTAAGGCCGAAGTAGGAAGTTCGTAGTTAACTTTTGTTCCCCTGTCATATTCACTTGAAAAAGTTTCTTTATTAGTCGTGACTGAAGTGACTCACTTAAACTCCATTTAAAAATCGCAAACATGGACTTTAGTTTTCATTTTTATTAGCAATTGACATTTATCTCGTATGTTTTGTATGAGGAAACTTGTAAGTAGCCTAATGTCATGAGTTTATAACACGCAAACTCTCATTCTTTGCATTAAGTCATTGGATGCGGAATATCCGAACGATAAATAGAAGTGGTTTTTAAGAAACTTTTATCAGGTGTCAAGGAAGTGACTACAAAATCTAGCTTATGTAGTTGATATTGTGCTGTCATTGTGAACAGACTGTTAAATGTTGTAAAACTGGTTTGTGAGAAAAACTGCTGCATTCAGAGCACGTTTGTATTATTTATGTGGGCTGTTTTACCGCTAATATTGTGCAAAGTGAAAGTTATTGTTGCTTTTGTTTCTGGCTTTGCTTTGTTAAACAATTTTCTGGGATTGTGTCATTTCATGGCGTTAATAAACATATATGTGCGTGTTTTAAGCTGCATTCAGATAGAGTTGGATCATATAATCACCTTCATTTATTATTTTGAACGTTTTAATACAATTTGTGCAGAAAAAGACCTGTTTCCTGGGAATGTATTCAAGTTAAAGTTTTTGGGTATGTGATACTCGTTGCTTTTTACCAATTAGCATATTCACAACGTGGTGAGGATAAGATAGCACTTAGGATTAGATTCACACCAAAGAACGCAACAGACTAACCGGAAATAACTGTAATATCACAATTTTCCGATAAACGGTGAACCTAAGCTGCGTTGCAGCAGAAAAAAATAATATTGAATTTATCAAACTCTGGCTAGAGTGAAAACAAGCATTGTAAAGTTGACCCACTCCCTTGTGAAATAGACCTTTGGATCAAGTGTTGCATGTTTACATTTATCTAAGGTCCCTGCGATGTCTAGAAAAGACCATACAGGTCCAGGCGCTGAACTAAACCCTAGAGCTAAAAGTACTAATATACCGGTTACAAATCACTGGTCATTTATACACGATCAAACTGAAGTGTTCGTTAAAAGTAGGAGATAGCCAACGTGGAAAGCCATGTTTCCACGTTATCAGCATGTTTGTCTGAACTTTAAAGGGTTGTAAACAGATGAACCTGAAGGCAAGTCTCCAAGACAACTACAAGTTTTTCTCGGCTAGTTATATTAAACAAACATAGTAAATTTTAGTCGTTTTCATAAACTTTGGTTGTTAAACTAATTTCCGAGGCATATAAAACTTGAATAACTGATTTTTTGTATTCAGTAGGGTTGATAGTTATTCTTAACCTTTCTAATTCTTCATCAAAGCTTTATTTTAGTTTTAACTACGAAGTGTCATGATCGTATCATTATTTTGATATGCTAAGGTTAGTAGCTTACAAAAGAGTTTCAAGTATAATTTACAACTAAAATTGTTAAAAGTCCCGTATAAAAGTACTAATTTGACTTCTTTTTTTAAAATATTTAGTCAGATATAGGTCAGCATTTTTTACGTGCTGCACGTGCTGGAAATATTCAAAAGGTTTTGATACTCATCAATGAGCACAACGCAGATGTACATGCCTGTAATGCAGTAAGTTCAAGAGGATAGTAAAAAATAAATATTTGTGTATGTTATGTTTTGCTTGTAATTTTCACTATTTTATATATCGATGTATTATGTTTAATTGTGAATTTGTTTGAATTATCGTAGTAATTTAATATTTATCACTGACTAATGAATTATTTTAAATTTTATTCTGCTAATCGGTTGAAGGAAGATGGGAGACCATAAACTCAGATATCTTGGTAGTTGGTACTCGCTAGCAATACGTTACTTTAGTCTTTAAGGAACTAGTTCTACCTGCGGTATTAGAAACCGTATCATCCGGCTTCATAATGTAAGACTTTACCACTGAGTTATTCAAGCCTCAGCTAACCTCCCTTAGGACTGACATGTTGATAAGAATTTGGTCAGTGGTTAACTGTCAGCATCATTTTTGTATGACCATTCTGTGCTATTCAAATTCACATATCAAGTCATTATAAATTCTTGTAGAAATGTGAATATGGAGATCGTCATTGATACTTTTTAAACTTTTAAAGTCATTTTGAAATAATTGTAGAGAATATTCGTATATTTTTAGTATTTACTTTAAAAAAGTGAGTTAAAATCTATGTTAAGCATATTACAGCACAACAAATCTCTTCACAATACTAGCCAGTAAGTTTGTAGGTTTTAACAAAGCTAATGACTACCAAATCAAGGCGTAGCATCAGTCTTCAAAGTTACTGATTTTTGATTTGAGCTGTGTTAGAAAGTACAAACTTATTGATATAAGGTTTAAGCGATAATTATAATCGATGATTGGAGGGATCTTGGTGAAATAACTCAAAATGGTTTACACTGACTTGGACGTGAATATAAAGACAGCCAAATAAACTCATACAAAAAGTACTTAGGTATGATCCATACTTTATAAATAAGGACTGAAAATAGTGCCACGTTTCCCGAACCGCAGCATGTGGCGTGGGACTCTCGCCAACAAATCGCTGTACAAACGCTTTTGTTACTTATCTTCATTAAGATCTTAAGTCTTAGCACTGTTGCTTACATTTTTATTTTTCAGTCCAATTCTTCCTCTTCGAACCGCATTCCTTACTTTTAGTTACTTCTGGTATTATTGAAATAATTCTTAATTATTTGTTCTCAATACCTCTTCTTGATTTCCACTCTTTTTTACAAGACCATGTAGAAAATTCAGGGATATATGTATATATATATATATATCAAATTGTTATTGTTTATGACTAACCCAACTAACTTATGCTTGTCAATAAAAAGTAATACTCGGTATTCAATTCCTCAGAATGGTTATCCGATTGTTTTTTACTTAATTTTGTTTATTTGTGATTTGTTTAATTATTGTTGGTTATCAATTGTAAACATATGTATGCATATTATTTGCTTCAAGTAAATGATCACCTTTTTATTAAAATTACTAACGTACTTAAGTTATATGGTCTTTGAAAACCAGAAATACTAGACAGCTGTTTCGGCTTAGTATGGGACTCCTTAGCACTGTTCGTCTAAGACTCTCCAAGGGATCGGATTCCATGACAAGCGCTCAACTTTAAAACCATTAAGCTGATATCTAGTGGTTTAAATTTTTGATCTCAATGGATTTGTAATGCTGCTCAATTAAAATATGTCGATTTTTAATCTTAGCGGTATTCAATAACTGCTATCAACTCTAATTCTGACAATTATATAGCCCTTTTTGAAGGTATGATCAAGTGCGAAATATATTTTATTAATTTAGTTCAGTACATGCAATGTAAGTATGTTCTTGTCACATACTGTAAACCTTAAGATGATGTAATTTTATTATTCAAATCAGTGTAGTAGTTATATCTTTCCAGTGATCTTACAATTGAATGTGTAAGTCTTTCTCAGGTTTGAGTTCAATATTGGGGGATTATAGACTTATTTTATTAGTTAATACATATTAGCTTGATGTATCTGTTTTATCCAACTATCTCTCCGTCCTTCGTCTAGCCAAACTGACACTACTCATTCCGTTATCGTTAGTTCTAAGATTTTATCCAAGTAACAAATAGTCCCCTGTGGAAAATAACGATTGATTAAGTAATTTATTATAACTAATTTTAATTCCTAAATAGACTGACATCTGTCTAAACCAAGGAGGAACTATGGTTTAGATCAGTAGGTGTACCATTGGAAATTAAAATTAGTTTCAAAACTTATTCGCCTCCAATAGACATCAAACACCTTATTTGTAATTTTTATTTAAACCTTGGAAATAAGAAATTCAACGAAGGGATCTTTTTTTAACAAATTTGTTATCCAGCTATATATATATATATATATATATATATATATATATATATATATATATATATATATATATATATATATATATATATATATATATATATATATATATATATATATATATAAAGTAGTATTAATAGTTTTGGATTAAAATTCAATATATTCAACCTGTATTACATTCCTAGTTTAATCAAAGTCAACCAATAATATTAGAAGAATGAAGTAGTAATTTCCCAATGAATAAATCTTTTTGTTTATATCCTTACCTATACTTCATTCAATTTAAAAGTGAAGGAAAGTTGAGAATGTTCATTTATTATGTTCATATTATTACTTGCAAAACATAGTTTGAATTCTTTTAAAAACAATTAATTAGTCAATTAGAATAAAACAAATAAACAAAAATAATGATCTCAAATTATTATCACAATGAAAAAAAAATAGGCTGAAATTTGTTAATGAACACAAATGATGGAAAGAAAAGAAAGAAAAAAAAGCAACAAATAAATGATACTTCATTCTTTGTACACTTCTCTACTTAGTTAATAAACAAATGCTGAAATGTATTTATTTACACATGTTCTGGTTTGTGTTTTCATCTATTGAATGTTCCTTTGTTTTATTATTTCATGTTGTAGTTTATACGTTCAGTGATTATAATCTATACATATCTAATTAATATGACATAAATGTTTGTTTATTTATCTCATATTTCATTTTATATTCCCCTTCTAAAAGTATACTGAGATAAATATTTATAATTTGATGTGGTGAACTTGGTAATATATATATTACTAGTATGACTGTTTGTTATGTCCATTGAATGATCTGCTATTTGTTGCTTGTTCAACAGAATAAAACCAATATGACTCTATTTAAAAAGGAATGAGTGACTAAAGATGAAGATTCTTTTTGACGTAGCAATCACCGATTCAGAAATTTTATTAAAATCACAATGTTACTTATGATGTATGTAACAGGTACTTGAAGAAGATTTGTAGCTTCGATAAATGGATTCGGTGTTGCTGAATTGTGTCAGGAAGATTGTTCAATAGCGAAGTTTTCACTGTAGTCCTGAACATCATCAGCGCTTACTTTGTGTGAAAGCGCTGATGATAGTATCCAGAACGTTAATGAAAGAATTTTAATAAAACTATCTTACATAGAGAAAACAATAACATCAAAAAAATAGAATTATTTGTGCTTTATTTTACATAATACACTAACAGAGATAAATTAAGGAAAGTGATTAATTTTTATGCAAATCTTAATCCTTACTAAAGTTCTTTTCAATAGTAAATTAATTTCATTCGATTCAATAATTTGTTATTTTGCGATTTTATTTACTCCAATGAAGAAAATTCTCTTCTATTGTATAAATCATTTTCATTTTTTTCGTTTTGTTTAGAATGGGTTAAATGCGCTTCATTTAGCTTCAAAAGAAGGTCATGCAGAAGTTGTACGTGAATTAATTGAACGTGGTGCAAAACCGAATACTGCTACGAAAAAAGGGAATACAGCTTTACATATTGCAAGTTTAGCTGGTCAATTTGAAGTGGTTAAATTATTACTAGAGGCTGGAGCTGAAGTGAATATTCAAGCTCAGGTTGGTTTATAACACTGTCTTTTTGTTGTTCTTATGCTAATAGTTAGTGTCATTCTGTAGTTTACACCATGAATTGGCCTCAATAAAACAACTATTTGAGACTAGAAGGGGCTGAGCAGCTGTTTTATCCTAGCACGTAACTCTTCAGGAATGGATATACATTATACTACATGGGATTGAACCCAGAACTATTAAGTTTCAGCGGTTAGTGCTAAGCCTTTAGGAAATTGAATCGGTATTCAAAGATTTATAGTTATAAACACAATCAATTCACAGTATTGCTTAACCATTGTTTAATTCTATTGGTTGGTAATTGCCACCACAAATCACTCTTTTATTATTTATGAAAAATTTTAGTTTTAGTGTAGTTCATAATTGATAGCTTTTTTTCTCTCTAGGAAATTTACGTTAAGCTGATTTAGTAGAAACTCTTAAATTTCAAGTAGCGTTTTTATTGCGAAACGATATCAACAGGAAAATGATTTAAAGACAATGTAGACTTAATACTTGTGTCATTATCATAACATACCATTCAGGAGTGCGCCGCCTACAAGTCAACATTATCGTGAAGCTATAACATCCATACTACTGATCTCAACCGCTCAACTTTGTAGTCGTATATCAACCACCCAATATCATTGGTTGACTCAAACAATCACTGGCAACATATTAGAACTTAGTAAAATTCATCACAAATGTAGTTTCTAGAGATCATTTGACTACTAGTTCAACTAATTAATTACTTTCATACACAGTTACCAATTTCAACTCATTGATCTTCATGATATGCGTACATACTTGCATGCGTGTATATATATATATATATATATATATGAACGTTGTTGTTATGATCTCTTTTCTTCTAAATCGATGGGTGTCATCGATGCATTACTTTTATTCTTTCTACTTTAAGCACTCCATTTTGAATACACTTACACAGTTATACATACATACATGCTATATACATACATACAACATGGATACGCAATTACTTATTGGATTGACAATATAATAATATTATTTTTGGAAAAATTTATCATAAATGTGAAGTTGACTGTCTGACGGTGTGATAACACAGACAGTTGGTCAATTTATTAATTAGCTTACTGCCGAGGAGTCCCACAATAGGACGAAACGGCCGTTCAGTGCTTCCAGGTTTTCAATGGTAGTCTAACATCAATAGGTTCATGATCTCAATCAAAAATTAGCTTACTATTTAGTTATGGAAGATTATTTTTTACATTGACTTAATAAGTAAATTAATTTTATTGATTAATAATGAATAAAGCATAATACATACCCTAAGAAGAAATACAAAGTACTGTGTGTATGTGTTTGGCAGAAAGAAGAGACAAAAATTTACTGTCAAAATAAGTAACTAGTATGATGCACACAGTTGTAAATTGACAACAGTTGAATTTTTCATTTCACTATCTCTCCGGTTTCTATTTCTACTATTCTCTTTCCTTATCACTAAAAATATACAGATTAGTTATCAGTAATAGAAAAAAATAAATGTAGCCGTAACATAATAACATAAAAAATATAAGTTTGCTACCAACTGTTAAAGTATCTATTCAAGAAAGACATTTTCACTAACTAATGTAAAACAAGACGGATTTTTTTCTTCGACAAGTTTATACCTGAATAGTTAGAATGTATATAAGAGCATAAATATGTGCGTATGTATGTATGTATGTATGTATGTGTGTGTGTGTGTGGTCTTAAACTCTTAGAGCTGGTTTACTTAAGCGATATTAATTGTGTTTGAATTATTATTAATATGAGGTAGTAGATTGTTGTGTTTAATTAAATGATAATTTTGTTCTAATTGAATATTGTGTTACTCTCTTTAAAATGATTGATTTGCTTAAAGAGATTTTATTTTTCTGTCATTTTCAGGTATCATTAGTAGTATTAACTTTAAAAGTATTTCTTCCCAAAACTTTCTTGAAGAAAGTTTAATTCTACTTTTTCTCATGAAGATGCTGAATACGTTTGATTGTCTCAAATACTATTTTGTTATCAGTAACATAGAATTTTGTTAACTGTAAACTACTTGTTAACTTGCGTTATAAAACTGACGACCAGTTAATACGACTGCTCGCGCTACTACCATTTATAACAATAATGATAAATATGATGATAGTAATAATACTACATTTATTTATCTAAATACATAAACATTGGTACAAGGAGGCGCCACACTTCGTCATTCGATTTGTATGAGGGCTTGAATACTGCCCAGGTGACCAAACCGAAGCAAGTGGTTTTCTTAGGGGGTCACACGCCGAGCCTTTGACCTACAGGTCAAATACACAAGGCAGTGGAGCTGCGTTAGGAGATGCAGTCCAATGGTAGCTGTTGACCAAAAATAGGTTTATATGCTATTTGTTCTTTTAGAATCCTGGAGCTCATGCACACCATTTGTTTGGAATTAGGGTTTTCCAACTTCCCTGCGTGCGTTCTCCGCGTCCACTAACCTGGTTAAAACGCCGGACGTCTGCTTCTCGTCCTCTCGAGTTCGTAAACAATACCCTCACCACATGAAGGTAGTGAGTAGGGATTCTGTGGTAGTGGCTGTATACGCGTGGCCATGTGAGAGCATTTGGAGAGGGAGACCTGGCTCTCCATACCCTTGGTCTTACGAAGGAAACTACTACTGTTACTAATTCTTTTACTCTAGTGTTTGTATTAGTACTATCATCTCATTACTGTCGTATCGTGTAGCGACTCACTTTGTTAAATTGTAACACTTTAAGACCCTTTATATTAGTTTAGTGAAGTTAGTGTTTTTTAATTATGTCTATTCGTTTCAATTCGTTTTAGAAGTATCAGGTATCTATAAATATTTTTTACTAGCATTTTTACAGTTTCTTCATTTCATAGTTACAGTTGGTCATTATTGGTCAGAGGTACCGATTTATTCTACTACTCTAATTTCTAATCACTGTCGATGAGCGGGGTAGTAGTCGCACCACTCATTTTTTTCAGTTCGTTGTTTCTTTATCTTATGAACACTTGTTTTATTACCATTTCGTCGTTTGCTTTTTTTAAGATTAAAATTAGTTCTTACAAAGCCTTTTGAAGTAAACAGTTACACCTAAGAAAAATTATGAGAATAGGGTACTGCAATATCTATAACTATTTTAGCTTTTAAGAATATTTGTCAACTAGTCTTGTAGCATAGTTTTTATTATCTGTGATTTTTTGTGTGTTGATTAACCACTATGATAGACGAATAGAAGTGGCACATTATATGCAGTCAAATATTAAATGTAATCTAATTTATTTCAGAAACGTACAACTATTCATAATTTTGCATAGTTAGAGGAGTTAAGAAGACTTTTTCACTTTGAAAACACTTCTTATCATTTATTAACCCCTGAAAACCCGAAAGTAAAGACAAAAAATTTCGTCCTAGTTTAAGACTCTTCAGTATTAAGTACTCTTAATTTCACAGAGTATAGTAATTGTAACATTTAAGGAGATCCACGGTAAGCATGAAACTGTCCATCCATTCAGTCAGTCCATGATCGGGTTAGACGACGACCATTATTCAAGTTCATCGCTATAAGCTAACTCACTGTCGATTTGGTTGACTTTAAAAACCACTATTTCCCAGTAGAACCCAGATGTAGTCACCAGAAAACATATGCTTTTTTCATTGGAAAGTTCCAACTTTCGATTTCTCATTTATTTGTTTATTATTCTGTAGTCGAACCTATGATTTCAAGGAATATTTTTTCTTAGATCTATTTTGATTAGTAGCTTACTGTTTATAAATAAAGTTCTTTCATAGAGATATTACTAACATCTCATTATTTTTGTTACGTTTTGTTTTTATTTAAAACCTTAAGGGATTGATGCTGTAGTAAAATTTAGTTTTTATTGTCTGTGATGAATCTTTGCAGGTTATTTTCATTGTTCTGAACTTCTTTACAAAGTCCTATTATATATATATATATATATATATATATATATATATATATATATATATATATATATATATATATATATATATATATTTCTGTGAACACAGTGGTTTGAAGGAATGTGAATCACTTTATCTCCCATAACATTAACGCAACAGCTGTGAAGGACGTTCGATAGATAAAAAAAATCATAATCTATATCCCTCTGAATTGATGGAGATAAAATAACTAATCTGAAGGATTAAATACTTCACTAACCCAGTTTTACCTTGTCTTCAATCATAATCTTGTGTATAAATGTTAATAGTTATTAAGGTATGATATTTTAAATAGTTTAATGAACAACTCGGTAGTTAAGTATGAATGTGTATCCAACCAAGTCACTACGATTTACATTAGCCCAATAAAACGTGTTTAACAAGTTGCGAAGTGGATGAAATGAAATTATATCGTTACTCGATTGAATTAGTAGATGTGAACGACTGAATGCCAACCTGCTTGTTTGAAACTTGTGTGTTCATCATAAAACTTGACGATCTCAAGTTTGATTCTTGATTAGTTTATAGATGTTCATTGTTGGAAAATTCAATACTATGTTGAAACAAATATCCATTATCTTCGGGTTTTCAATACCTGTCTATAGCCAAGGTTAGTCCGCGAAGTAAATCAAAGGTATACTGATCATCACAAATATTTTAAACAATTAATATTAGATTTCTCTTGTTTCGCAAGTTATTTTATCAAGTTAATTTCTTTATTACTAATCTGTTATTTTTATCCCATTGATGTTTATGTATCTTGGCAACTGGAATAGCTTGATTATTGCATTAGTTATTTAAATTTGGTTATGCTTTTATCATCGATTTCTTCCCTACTGTTCCTCCACTCAAGGATTCACATGAATCTTAAGTAGTGAGAGATAACTAAATAGTTGAAGCATCCACCTTTTAACTATTGATTTATGAGTGATAATTTTGAGTTCCACTCTGCTTGCCTTAGTTTAAATAACTGGGTAATACAGCCTTTGCTCATCAGTGGTTGAAGATATTGGGTAACATGACACATCACAGTGGCTCAGCTGCATTCATTCTTTACTTTCCTCAAATTCATGAGCTACAACATTATTTCATGCATTTTATCCCTAGCATTCACCCATTCTTTTCGAAGAGCATTTTTCATTGTTGATTATTTCTCAATATCATTGATTCTATCATTATTTTGACTCATTTTTTGGCACTGTTTAAATTAATTCTATTTCATTGTGCTGATATGGTAATGGGAATTTTGACTAATCTTCGTTTATACCAGATTATATTAACTACGAATGAATGAATGACTAGCTTTCAAAACAAACTTTCACCATAAAGCCAAATAAACAAACTTATATTTTCAAACTATTTTATTTAAATTTACAATGATTTTATTTCATAGTTTATTAATTTATTCATTGTTTTACGTTTTATTCTCAGAATGGTTTCACTCCATTGTATATGGCTGCTCAAGAAAATCATTTGGAAGTTGTACGTCTACTATTAGCCAATGGTGCCAATCCTGGTTTAACTACAGATGATGGTTTTACACCACTTGCTGTAGCTTTACAACAAGGTCATGATCGTGTAGTTGCTTTATTATTAGAAAGTGATTCTCGTGGTAAAATCTGTTTACCAGCTTTACATATTGCATCTAAAAAGGATGATATTAAAGCTGCCAATTTATTATTAAATAGCGATGTCAATGTAGATCATCAATCAGCTGTAAGTTGTGTGTTTAAAGTGATAATTTATTTCATTTTTTATACTGTTATTCATAATAGTATATTATTTGATTAATTAGTTAATTATATGCAACCTGGCACATAAGTGCATCAATTCATATTATTACATAACATCAGCACAACGAGATGAAATTATCAAAACATTTGCCGAATTAGAAGAAGTAGTAGCCTTACGATTAGTAGCACTGGTAGAAAAGATCATACATAGCCAACATAATTTAAAAGGAAAGGATGAAAAGTGTTTTTCTACAAACAGTAAATAAATCTATGTCATTGTCATATGTTCTAAATTATTTCATTCAGCACCCTCAACCTTCGGTTATGATAATGTGCTCACAACTTTGTTCAGTAGTTAATGACTTCGTGGACTAATTCAACTTCTTAGTCTAACTGTCCCTAACTTTCTTTCAATCTACCCCCTACCCTAGTAAATATATGTTGTTGAAGTTGGCGGCGGTTTGACATTTCGATTTCAATTATGTTAAACTGCTATAATTAATTACTGTTAAACATATAACTAAGTTTTTTTTAAACAAATAGACGGCTTCTTGTTATACAAATTTGAAAATTTATATTTTCATTAATTGTCATTTTCCCCTTTAATTATTATTGTAATTGTAAAGTTGATATGCTATTTTACCTAGTTGAGAAGAGTAGATAGGGATGCGGTGTAAAATAATACATTGCCGAATGAAAAATGAAATTGTGAATAGTTTTTGTTGCAAAACATTAAAAGAAAATCATAGACAAATAAAGAGGTATTTTATCCTACTATGGAATTTTTTCAACAGTCCATTTTCATCACCCAGACTCGGTGGTCAGGAGGTTAAGCGTTCACGCGCGAGACTGAAGGCCATGGGTTCTAATCCCGCTAGCGGGATCGTAAATGCGCACCGCTGAGGAGTCCCATAATAGGAAGAAACGGCCGTCCAGTGCCTCCAGGTTTTCAATGATGGTCTAACATCAATCGGTTCATGACCTCAACCAAAACAACAAGTCGAAATCCAATGGTATACACTACCTAGGCTCGATTCCGTGTGAGATTGTAGGTGACAAACTACTGCAAAGAATGTGTTAAGTGTTGCATGTTTTTCAAAAGTTTTCTAGCTTATGTAAATTAGAAGAGAGATCTATTTCCATGTTTAAAAAGTCTTCACAAACTAAGCAATTAAATGAAAGATAGTTCTCTGAGATTATGATTGGTTAGTTCATAATGGCTTCTTCAGTTATTACATGACTGGTTGTCAAAACGATTATTTAATTGACTTTGTAGATAACATTCACTTTATATATGTCCGAGTAGTAGTAGTAAGTATGAGAAGAATCATCAGCGTGAAATGGTATAACATTGAACAGTAGCACTGATGTTTTAAAATGTTTACTGGCTACAATTTTCTTGTTTTGTTTAGTGAAGTAGTTGACCGCATTGAATGACTTACTACTTCTCTTGCAAGTCTTTTCAGCTGTGGTAGGTTAGTGTTATGAAGCTTGGATTTTCTTCGTCTTTATGAATAGGACGTTAATTTGCTTCAAACGAATATCTACACTAGATTCCTTTCCAGTGTCTATTCTACCGGATTTCAACACAACTCAGATCAAAAACACATGATTAACCTGACTGGAATATAAATATATTTCCACACCGAAAACCGACAACAATCCAACACAATCAGAATAATAATAAGGATAGGAGAATATGTAACTCATCTAGTACCTGTCAGACTATCTACAAATCTGACTAAGCAAGCAAACAATCATTATCATACTCGCCCACACATCAGTTAGTGTCCAATAAAAGCTTCACATAAATTCAGAATGCTCAACTGGCTTTAATCAATCTGGGTTATTTGTAGCTGAGATACATTTCTGCCAACCGAAGTCAGTAAACTGCTCAGGAGTTCATTCAGTATTACTTTATGGGTGTGAAACCTAGAGTTTGAAAGTAGAAGATATTTATAGGTTTTTAGTATTTAATCATACGTTGGTGCTTTCGAACCTCCCTCTGACTGACTCATCCTAGTATGAGACTCTTCAGAAGTGCGCATCCACGATCCCGCACACGGGATCCAAACCCAGGACCTTCGGTCTCGCGCGGGAACTCTCAACCTCTAGACCACTGATCTGGCGCCCAACGATGTTAATGTCTAACTTCAACCAATCTACGGGATTGTGTGACTATCTTTCATTATCTTCGATGGGTAGCTGCTATCCAGTGCTACCAAGTTTTCACTGGTGGTCTGACATTGATCGGTTTATGATTTCAATTAAAAATCACCACAAATTACTTATGAATTTTTAGAAAATTTTCTTAATTTTTTCTTCGTTTATGTCTGTTTTGTTTTAGAGTGGATTCACTCCACTTCACATCGCTGCACATTATGGTAATGTGAATATGACTGAATTACTGATATCACGTGGTGCTAATATTAATTTTCAAGCTAAAGTAAGTAACAGGAAAATCATTTAGGATTATCTTTTCAATACTTCCAAAATTTAATAATGATCATAAATATAAATAAATATGTATTTATTTATTATTGACAATTTTTACAGAGCCTTAATTGAAAATTAATTAGTTTAAACAATGAAACTACAAAACTTCAGGTAGAGTTTACAATTGACTGTTTATTCGGAAAGTGAACAATGTTATGTTTTTCTATTCCTTTTAGTGCTGATTGAACTCTATTGAATTATTTTAAGTGACTAGTTATTGGTTGGACTATGTTTAGTTGTTAAGCTGTCTATAGGAAACCTTACTTGACCTCGATTTTGTACTAGTTAGCTATTATTGGCAGGGTGTACCTTAAATCTTGGTGGAATAGATGCTTTCTGGTGAACTTGAACGCCCATAATTCGCTGCCCAAACAATTATGTGGCAAAGTTTCAAAACACATAGCTATCGAACGTGGATTCGAGTCCAATTGTGACTATCAGTTCCCTCAAGTTTCTGAGTACGCCTTGCCAGTAAGTGCTAACTAGCAAGAGACCTATGTAAGGCAATTTTCATTGTCGATTACCTCCAACCACCTGTCATCTTAATTATGAGTCATAAATCCTAGTTCGAACCACTTCCATATATACTATGAGAGTATAATCTATTGTTTATACCGTGATATTTTTTCTCGGGGTTTTTATCGTATTTATTCATCTATCAAAGGTTTATTTGTTGACAAATTCTATCAAATCATACTTCTGTATTTATTATTTATTATTCAAATATTTCAGCGTATTCAATTTCGTAAACACTGACTTATATCTCATACGTTATGTTGAATAATAATTAAATAGAAAAATATAATCACATAGGTTCGGTAGTTGTATGATCTCATGAGTGAGTATTGGTAGACATGATTTCTAAGTTATATATCGTCTGATGGTTTCAACAGATCACAATCCAATGTTGATTCGTCATGAGAAATAAGGTTCATTATCGTTTACAGTTTGGTTAAAGGAGTTTTATAAATTCGTGTCTAATTTTGAGATTGTATTCGTCACAAACTGATTTCAGAGATGTCGAAAGTGAAATAATTATTACCAGTCATATTGAATGCTCGCTTCAATATAACACAAACTAATTGAAGTCTATTTGACTACTTGACAGGAATCTAGTGATTTTGTTGGTTAATTTCTTAGTAATAACCTTGAAAATCCTGGATACTATCCCTGGTCGAGTAGTTGGTACTCAACGATAAACAGTCCCATGCTAGAACTAAAAAGTTGTCCATTCACTTCTGGCTCTCATTGGCATCTCAATTAAAACCTGATACATCCTTCCTTTCAATTTTTACAATATGTTCATTGTTATAATTTTTATAAATTTCAATTAATTACTTCTTTAAAACTGATTCATAAAAGGTTATCAATAATAATAATAATAATAATAATAATAATAATAATGATAATAATAATAATAGTTAACTAATAAGCTTTTATTAGGAATCACAAGATGTTAAAACTATGATTAAGCATTTCATTTACATTGAATCACAACGAAATTCCAACTTATCTTTATTGTCATTTCGCCTATAAGGTATGATGAATAATTGAACTGTTTACTTTTGCTGTATATACGAATGTAGAAAGGCACCGACTTTTGTGAAATAAATACATTTTGAAGTTATTATTTGTGTTACTATTAAGTTGTTGTCAAACATTTAATTCCTATGAGATTGATTTGCGTAAATTATGTTGAAATGCTTTGTAAAATTTTTATTTTTACTTTCACTCACACACATACACAAACACATTATGTATGTTTTTCTTACTACAGAACAATATAACTCCATTGCATGTAGCATCTAAATGGGGTAATCAAGGTGTAGCTGAACGTTTAATTACAGCTGGTGCGGAACTTGACTGTCGTACACGTGATGGATTGACACCATTACACTGTGCTGCTAGATCTGGACATGATACAGTTGTTCAATTATTATTAAGTGCTGGAGCACATATCTCTGCTAAAACAAGGGTAAGATTTAAAATTATTTTCAATGGTGTATTTATGCAGTTTGTTTTTTTAATTCAAATGTTTGTTGTACAGGATTTCTTTGCAGAAAAAAGAAATCACTTTTAATGTTTTACTCAGTGGTTCCGAAGTTTGTCTTGATTTATTTGGACCAGTCAAGTTCAGTATTTTTAATGATTCTTTGATAAAAAATATATGATTGAATTACTCGTATATGGATGTACATTTGGTTACTTTTTCTAATATTTTCAAATAACATTCAGGATGAAGATTATATTTTTCTTTTTATCATCGGATAGCATCAGAAGTTGTTTAATAGATGGTAATTTCTGTTGTCGTTAAAATTGAATGGTGTAATTCTAAACACTTTACGAATCTGTCTTATCTGATACTGCTGAGAAGTCTTATACTAGGACGAAACAACCATCCAGTGCTTCCAGGCTTTGAATAGCTTAAATCAACCATTAAAAATCACTACAATCTCTACTAACCCCTATTCTAATCATAAATAAAATATGCATTCAAAAAATATATTGCATCAGTTGATATATTAGTCCAAAACAATTAAATTTCACCACGATGTATTTATTCAATAGTTTTCTTCACGGATTGATATAATAAAGACAACTATGAAAAACTAGAAAGTAGTAGAAAATTGATTCGTCTAATTATCGGACTCTTTAGCAGCATGCATTTACAATCCTTTCAAGACTCGAACCCAGGACTATCATATCACCCACTATAGGCATTGAAAGATGGTTTTGCACCATCAAGAATTGATTGAAGTGAGAAATGTAAAAAAAATATGTGACCAATCGCTCGTCACGAGATCTAGAGGTCTTGCGTTTAATACTTGATGAAGTCATGGATAGTCATTGACGAGGAGTTCTATGTAGAGGTAAAAAAAAATTGTCCAATACTTCTTGATTTCCATTGGTTGCGTAGTTAATGTCACTTTTGGATGTAAATAGTCAGGAATTCAATTATTAAAGAAAGAATTCTAGATGTTTATGCATTCAACAATACTAGATAATATTGTTTTTATGTACACTATTTAATAACTTTGAAATGATCAAGTGATAGGTACTTTTAGTTTAAGAAACAAAGATCTGTTTATCATAATTTGCAAATGATTTCTTTAAGAAACTTTATACAAAATTTACATCATGTTTTTATTCAGACAAATTGTTTATTAAATATTTTAGTAATAAGAATGAAGTTTTACATTTGTTTGTAATAAACAATGTATCTAATCAATAAAGCAGCTTTCAACTGTTTCAATCATGTTATAAATGTGGAATACTGAAATTCTGTGTTCATCTGACATGAATTTTTTTTTACTGTGGAGAGTGTGATATTGATAGCACTAGCTAATCTTAATACTTTCTACATTTAGTTAGTCATTTGTAAGCAGCTTATTACCTGATACATATGTGAATCGATTCAACTTGATACACTAATTCAATACAGAGAGAAGAAATCGCCAAGAAAAATATCAAAATAGAAGTAGTATAATTATCAATGGGATTACAAAATATTAGGTAAATTCGATATAATTCTAGAAAAATGATTGTTTGCAGAACGACAATTATAAGGACATTTAAAACTCATCTAAGGCAAGATGAAGAATGAATGCATCTGTGTTACTGAGATTTATTCTGAACCATCTTATCCAAAGTCTCCAATCATTGGTTACGATATTTTTACAGATCCGAATATGTTAGTCTTCATTTACTAACGTTTCTGAATTCAACAGTTAATGACATTATGGACTGATTTCATCCCCTGGTTTCGCCAGTCCCTATTTTCCTTCACCTTACTGCTATACTGACAAGCATCTCTACTTTGGTACAATTCAAGTTAGCTTATCTGCCAATAAACTTAAATCAAGGATAAATAAATGACGCCAAATTATATGAGTTCGTACATGTTCTCATCATTGCAGTTACTGATGAAAGGTTAAAATTTCTGCTATACATGATAGTATACAATGATACAATATTTATGATACAGAACTTGATTTTCTCTTTGGATTTCATTAAATATTCAGTTTAACAAAAAATTATTCTTAATTCAATTAATCTTAAATTAGATTTATGTAAACAAAGTGAAGTTCTATGTCATGTGCCAAAACACATAAATGATGCTGATTAAGTTGTATTATTTTTCGAATTTCATAATTTCCTGATAAAATTTTATTGATTAGTTCTTTTTTTTTACACATGACCATAGTGTGTACATGTGACTGAAAAAAAAGAACTGTATGAACAAATAAAGTTATTAATAGTAGTTCTACATGGAATTATAAGATCTTGATAGTCTCTATAGACCATTTGCATAATAATGTAATACAGTGTATAATTGTGTTGGATGCTACTTATGTCGATAGATATAAGTAGTATGTAACTAATCAGAAGTGGAATATGTGGTAGCAGAAGATTTTTAGAAGATTGAATTAAAGAGAACAGGAATATGAAGAGAGAGAAATTGCAGTAGCAACAGGATTGAAGGAACGATGAAGTTTTTAAGGGACAAGTGATGGAAGATATGAAAATGAAGTATTTACTGTCATAGTTTCCATATTTTATGAAGACACTTTGTAATTTTGTATTCAATAATAAATTTATTCTTCCTACCTGAGTGTTATTTCACTACATAATAACTAAATGATTGTAAAACAATACAATCTATATGGTCAAACTAAGTTACAACGAAAATTCTTATTCGATTTAACATCGACCCATCTGTTCATTATCCTTACTTACGCATATATATATATATATATATATATATATATATATATATATATATATATAAGACAAAAGTACTGAAAATCAACTGTTTTTTGTCTGTCCTCTATTATTTACAGTTATTGAAACGTTTGAATTTCAATAACAATACATATTTGAACTCTTTTTTGTTGTTGATCTATGCCGTAACTTTCATTTAGAGTGGTTTAAATTCATTACATATGGCAGCTCAAGGTGATCATGTAGATACTGCACGTTTACTTTTACAACATGGAGCACAATCTGACGATCCAACAATTGACTTTTTAACCGCATTACATGTTGCTGCACATTGTGGTAATGTACGTGTAGCAAAATTATTACTTGAGCGTGGATGTGATGTCAATGCAAGAGCATTGGTAAGTTAACTTTGTATTCAGTTTTCTCCGCTATTCTTTAATTAGTTAAGTCAAAAAATACATTTGGTGATTTTTTGAAAAATGCAACGTTGTTTAGATTTCTTAATAGGATATACATTTTACTATGATTGTAATTATTATATTCATACTGTATTTGATTTAAATTTCAGGTGTTATCCTTCCAAGTTAATGAGTTAGTAAAGTCATATTATTTAGTTTCAATGATCTCTAGATTTAAACTACATTTCAATATCACATACGCATAAATTAACATAAGCATTGATTTATTTTTATGGAAAGAAGCTGTGTTGACAATTCATTTTTGTATTGTTTGTTTGAATCTTCCCGTTAATGTTTAGGACTGTAATTGATCAGTCTCTTATTGGCATATGTGCATGTTGTGCCAATTGCCTAGATATTGCTTTAAATCAAAAGCTTTATAAACAGAGATGGACGGTGGTTGATAGTGGGATCTAGGAAGTGCGTTTTGTTTTATTGAGGATTCGTCGGCTGGATGTACCTGCGTTTGAAGCGAACGGTACGGGGATCAAGTCCCGGAGTGAACGTCAACTATGGGATGCAGGTACATCCAGCTGATGGTTCTTAAATAGGCCCGTCCTGGATTCCACTGCTAAGCATCATCAATCTTTTCTTGCATTGACAATGTTTTGTTATTTTTGTCTCGTATCCAAAAATGGTATTAAGAAATTTCACTCTTTGGACGGTTGATATTTTCAAGTGAACATCATAGACTGATCACGGTTAAACAACCGTTGTAAACTAGGAACCATTGGACAGCTGTTTTGTTTTAGTTCTGGACGATTCAGCAATAAATAACTATTCAATGAGAATCTAGTGCTTTAGTCTGCTGAGTCAGCATTAACTTGCTTCCGGATTCGATTCTCGGTAGGATTGTGAATACAGACCGTTGATAAGTCTCCTACCAGGATGAGAACATTGTCCAGCACTTCCTGATTTACAGTGGTTGTATGACTGAGAAAAGCTCATGATGTAAAATACGAAATTCAAAAAATCTTCATAAATTTCCTCTACTTACACCTGTTATTTGTTGAAAGAAGTGTAGGAGTCACGTTACATTAATATAAGAAAATATTTTTTAACGTTTAAATTAATCTATTGTGTATTTAATTATCAGTTGGGATGACAACGAAGGTGCGAATAGATTTGATTAAATAAATAAAAATTAAAAGAGATACTTGATGATTAATCCTTTACTCACTAAAATACATTTAATACTAAGATAAGTTTTCCCAATATTTTGTAGGATGACAAAAAACAAAAACATTTACTGTAAACGAATTCTTGGTCAGTTTAGTTGACATAGCATTATTACTTAGTGAATTCAATTTGTAAGTAATAAGATACTACTTAATAATTGAGATAAATTTTGGTTAAAATTTAATTGTCGACCTTAAATAGCTTTATATCATTTGCATTCGTTGATAACAAAACAATGCTTGAATCGGTATGAATGTTAAAGACAAGTCTGAAACTTCATAATCCATATCATACTTAGCATAGAAGTAGAAATACATTAATTATCAAAGGAGAACTTCATTGTTGAAAATTCCTCTACTTACAACTTTATAGATATGAGACTCGAGTATCATCAATAAATATTTAAAGCGTTACTCATATGTAGGGAGTTTACATTAATTGTATGTTAGCCAATAGATTTTTTACATTTGCAATCATCAAAGTGTTTAGGATAGAATAAGAAAAAAAAATTTAGCGAAGTAAATTTTCTTTTCGACGAAACCATCTACTTAAGCTGTACATTCGTATATATAGTTATATGGAAAATATATGTCTATAGAAGGTTTGCATCATAAAATGGATTCGAGACTAGATAACAAACTAGGTTACACACTAATCAATGGGTAAGGAAGAAAATAATTTACGGGTCAGATAATTGTCCAGTTGACAGAAAAAACGACAAACATAAAGGTCATGATAATAAACTGAATAATAATCAAGAAAACTTGTATAAGGTAATAATAATAATAATAACTGATTAGAGTTTAAAATTGCGGAATGATAATTTTAAAAAATTCAATAATAATCAAATAAAAGTGCAGAAAGAAAGAAAGAAAAACACCCAGAAACATACCCGTTAAGGGAATTAAGGCCAAGGAAGGATGAGAGGCTGGACGAATCGTTTTTGAACGCAAAGTTTGGGCTTGAGTTCGTTGATTGCCAATGCTTCAGCAGTGCATAAATTATTGATTCGACACCCATTTGATAGATGTTGAATACACCAAGCCATGGTCTGTTTTATATCTCGATTGTGTTTAAATCAAGAGTCTATCAGAATAAATCAGAAAGCTACAATTCGATTTGATGTTAAGCTGTGTGAATAATATGTTGACTTCCTGAGTACTGTTCTTACAATGTTAAAAATCAGTTATTAAAGAACCTAAGTTGATATAATTTAATGGATTATTATTTTTTGCTTTCAATGTTCTTCTTCTTCTTCTTCTTCTTCTTCTTCGTCTCCGTTTCCATTTCTTCAACTTTTAATTAACCTATTTCTTTATCATTATTTTTGCGATTAATTTTCTTTGTTTCTTGCACTGTATTGACAATGATTTCTATCATTATTAGAATCTTAAATCTTTAGTTATGAATTACTTTTATTTATCTATTGAATTGTTTCATTAAAAAGTGAATATGATTTATGTTTATGTAGAATTAGGAAACTGTTGAAATTCTTCTCTCTATTTCTGTGAATAATTAGTTTCATATATAAAATGATTTTATTTTTCGAATTAGTTGTCACTTGAAAATTGAATTTAGTTACTAAGTTCTAATATATATACATATATCTAACTAGGTCAAAACTTCATATGGCCTTTTCTATTTATATCAGTTTTGGCTTATTAGTTATGTTGTTAACCATTACTTATTATTATTAATAATAATAATAATAGTAATATCTCTATATATTTGTATGTATTGTTTTATAATGAAAATAATTCATAAAAATGCACTGAGTTGTTAGTTAGTTCAGTTTGATTGTCTTATTGACATTTGAATAAATGATGCAAAAAATATAGAGACTAAATGAATTAGGATATCAACTTCATATTATGAGATAAGAACAATTAAAACATGAACTTTTCACTAATGGTTTTTGTCAATTAACAATGAAACTATAGTAGTGTATATCTTAATGATTCATAAAATAAACTTGTTTACATCTTATTGAAACTGGATATTCTTGAACAGTTTTTTGGTGGAGTTGAGTTCATTGAGTTGGAAGGCTTAATCGTGAAACTTTTATTCTTTCTAAATAACATCTTTAGCATAAAATTTGATTAAATATGTTGTTTAGAGGCTTGATGATTAGACTATCCCACTTCGAGAACTTAGCTCCACCAAAATAATCCTCCTGTGCTACAAATCTTCTGACAGAATGACTGTTCTGTGGCACTCTTCATTCGTGTTAGTTCACAATATAGTCGTTCATTATTAGCAATTATATTCTGAGCAAAGACTTCCTTCTGAGTCTCTTAAAAATTTTAATTTGAAATTATTGTTTGGGAAGCTCAGTTTACTTGCCAGTTTGAAATGGATGCTCAAAAAATCAAAATGAATGAGGATTACGCAATATAATAAAATAATTGAGGTGCGAACATGTAATGCATTATAACTTCAAGCTTATAACTGGGTTGTCTGTCATACTAACTAAGAATGTGGGAACTCTTGTGTGTGGAAGAGAGGAGGTTTGGTTCCAAACGTGACTGTGAAGGTAAACGTTTGTGAGTTTTATTCTCGCTCGGCTTTTTATGAATCTTTAACTGGTTATTAGTTTGTAACACAATGTAGAACCACCACTGGGAGAAATTATTTTAATTTTCAAGTCTTTATACTATTTAAATAAGTATTGAACCTACATATACTATTGATGACAAATGATTTATCAACTTGTTGCATACATTCTACTGAGAACTAGTAATATTGTCGAAATTGAGTTCACAAGTCAATCTAAGCTAAATCTCCATTGCAAGCCTATAAAGACTGGACAGCCGTTTCGTTCTAGCCTGGGACTTCCCAGCAATACACATCCACGATCCTTCATGCGGAATAGAACCAAGGAACTTTGGTCTCGTGTGCAAACGCTTAACCTCTAGACCACTGAGCCAGTATTCAACAGTGTTAATATCTAATTTAAATCGATCCAGTGCTTCCAGGTTTTCATTATTGGCTTAGCTTAGACTGACTCGTGAATTCAGCTATGAAAATACTACAATATGACCATGGATGAGTTTAAGATTGCTAATATTGAAATGACTGATATGTATTGTTTACTTAAATCAAATTCAGAGTCCTTTAAATGTGCATGAAATAAGTAGGGTATTTTGTAAAAAAAAAACATGTTCCACATCTCCTACTATCATCAACATTATGTCCAATAAGTGGATATTTATCTCAAGTATCAGATAACTTGATCCAATTACTGTACATATAGCTTCTTCCGCTCTATAATTTCATTCAATTCACTTATGATTTTTAATTTCGTATAAATATAAAAATAATTATTAACCTTTTATCATATATTACTATTTCCTACTTAATTATATCATTCCGTATATTATGTAGGCAGTGACTGAATGATTGGTTTGAATTATGGTTACAATACTATGTCTTGTGATCTACGTTACCCATATTTATTTTGATGATTAATTGAAGAGACTATAATTTATAGACGAACCAATCAGATATAAGAAAATGAGTCATGGATTTTGGCGCGAAATTCATTCATCCATTTGGTTAAATAATGTTTAGACATTTTAGCTGATGTCAGTTTGTGATCGAAACCCTAAATGTAGTTCCTCACCCTGACCATCAACTGTAAATCATAATTTTAATTCCTCACAATGTTTTATAACCCTCATTTAGTTCTAATTCGTGGGTGGACATTCTCAAGGTTGCTGAAGCGTCGCACAAAGGTCTTCCATAAACTGTAGTTCCATTGA